TGCGGGGGCCCCGCCCCCGGGCATGCGGCTATGGGGGGGCCGCCCCCAGGCATGCGGCTATGGGGGGGGCCGCCCCCGGGCGCGCAAGTGTCCCCACCCCCTGGCGCCCGGTGGGCAAACAGCCACGCCCCCTGGCGCCTGGCAACCTCGAATGGTTGGGGACCACTGCTCTATATAATCAATCAACCGGGATAGGAGAAATAACCCTGTGAAATCTGTATGCAGTATAGTTGTAGATGTGCCAGTCTCATGATATTAGAGAGAGAAGGTGGGTGAGGTAATATCTTTTATTAGACAAACTTCTATTGACAAGAGAGATGAGCTTATTTAGCAGTGACACTTTGAATTAGTTTCCCAGACATGAAGAGCTCCATCTACGCTCAAAAGCTTTTCTCTCTCACCAACAGAGGTTGGTCCAAAAAAGATAGTGCCTTACCCACTTTGTCCCACTGAAACTAGTTTTTTTTAACCAGGGAAGCTAAACAGGGGAGTGAATAGAGTGACATAACTAGAGGGAAATTCAGACAAACACAAAAAAGGGACAGAGAGATGCAGATGGGGAGGAAAAAGGAAGTTGGTTTTAGATTCAAATCAAGTTTTATTACCCTCACTTAGCTAGATTAGTGTGTAACAACAAAATAATATTAATGTATATGTGTCATTCTCTAGCTAGGAAGGAAGTGAGGTCATCTCCACCTGAGCCTTGGTGCCTCAGACAGAGATCTTATTTCTCTTGCACACCTGTTCACAAACACCAGCTTGTCTGTCTCTAAGACATACACACAACAGTGCAGTTATGGGAAGCCTGCCCCTGAATAGGGCCTCTAGTTTATAACAGCCTTGTGGATTAAATTCCTTTTTGCAAACATCATAACATGTGTAGACACATTGAAATCTCCCTTTTATGCCCTGTCCCAAATCCCTGCTCAGCTCAACTGGAATCTGGTGAATACATGCCTCTGCACAGGACAATGCTTTTGCACTTCCATGTAAGGCAACAACAGATATGTCCTTGCTTTTCAAACTTTTTGGCCCACAGCCCACCCCACTCAATGCAGACCTTTCTGCGGACCACCAGCCAACCACTCATGATGACAAAAATGGGTGCAGGAGCGGGCTGGGAGCGTGGAGTCTGGGAGGGAGGCTGCAGGAGGGCGATGGAGGTGAAGGGTCTGGGCATGAGGGAGATCAGAGGGTGCTCACCTGGCTCTGTGCCTCCTACCACTCTTAGGCACCACCCCCACTGCTCCCATTCACCATGATTCCAGCCAATGGGAGCAGCGGGAAAAACTTCCAGAGGAGCAGTTTCATGCTCTGCCATTCCCCCAGCTGGGGGCAGGGAAAGACAGCACACAGAACTGCTTCCTTCCCAGCAAGCTGGATCTGGCCCAGAGGCTTGCGCCCCTCTGCCCTGCAGTGAGAAGCCAGTACTGGCACTTCAGCCTCACAGGGGGAGGGCCGGGGGCTGGAGCATCAGGGCCAGCTCCCCACTGTGGTGGGAAGGGCAAGTCCTGAGCCTGTGACTTACCTGCAATATGGTCAAGGAGCACCACTGGTCCATGGATCATATTTTGAGAACCCCTGCTCTAGGGTTAGTGTTCATCTTGGTGTAATGCTGCAGGACAGGGACCTACATTAGTGAGAGCCAGGAAACCCACGATTCCTCACCAGCAAGCTAGAAGAAGTAGTGTTGCTCTACCTCTAGTTTGAACTGAGCTAACACAGCATTAACTGCACATCAGTTGTGACAGACACTCTGGGAACCACCCAAAATATGGAATTATTGGCAGAATACACATCTCTCTCTCTCTTGTTTATATATATATTTCCATGGGAATATGATGCTGGTGAAAGGTGCTAGACTGACATATAGACAGGAATAGCAGACATGTAGGCAGCAGCCTTCCTGCCAGTGTGCCTATGCTAGGCTCTGGAAAGGCTGGAAGAGAGTTCAGTCTCCTGACACTATTACAGCCAGCAAAGAGACCATTTATTTCTTTGACCTTATTGTTGGCATGTAGATGTGCTCTCTGGGATCTGGACTGAAGCCCCCACCTTATTTCACCTAGAAAGACCATCCTTGCCATCAGATGATTAATAAACCAATAATTTGGGCTGAGTTGGAACCAGTGACTGAGAGGTAGAGAGCTCCATATGATATTATCAATGTCCTGAACAACCTCCCAGCTTCAAATCTAGTCTAGGGTATAAAATAAACTGTTTTAAAACAGATTGGTTAACATGCTTCTAACAGACATGATTTAAAACATTATTGTAAAAAAGGTTTAGTACCATTGTTAGGGTTGCCAGATGGTTTAACCAAAAATACCGAACACCTCTCCCCATTCCTCCCCCACCCCCCAAAAAAAACCACTGGGAAAAAAAATTCTGTTGAGGAAAAAAAAAGGGGGGGGGGAGACCAAAAAAAAAAAAGGACCCCAACAGCAGTTATTAAGCAAAACAAACAAACAAACAAACAAAAAAACTCAACATGGCCCCTTTAAGAGGTTTTTTGCTGGCAGACATTTTGGTTTTCCGTTTCAGCCACAAGACAAGCCCCTGTGGAACCAGGTAAGCGGGGAGGTGAGGGCTGTCTTGGGGGGGACCTGTAACTGGTTGCTGAGTGTGTCATAGGGTTGCCAGGTGTCTGGTATTTTCGCCTCCTGGCAGGGAAAAAAAATCAGAAAATACTGGACATTTTAGGTGTCTGGTATTTTCTGAATTTTTTTACTGGACAGGAGGCAAAAATACCGGACTGTCCAGGTCAATACCAGACACCTGGCAACCCTAACCATGGTGTCCAATATGCTAGCCACTAGTCACATGTGGCTATTTTGCCGTTTGAGTATGGCTCCAGTCATCTGATGACTCTGGTCATCTGAAGAAGTGGATTGTGCCCATGAAAGCTCATGATACCATCTACATGTTTTGTTAATCGATAAAGTGCTATCAAACCATTTGTTGTTTTTTTGAGTATAGCTAGTTCGCTTCGGAACTGGTTGGATACCATAGGGTTAGTATAATCTGTACCTGGTTGTGATCAACCTAAGAAGGGTCGGAAACACATTTTTAAAGATGTTAAATACCGTCTACAATAATATTTAAAATTGTGTTATTTAAAATGTGATGGTTACCACTGCTTTATATGCAACTTATTTTCTGAGGGTAGACAAAGTGCCATTTCTGATGGAAATGTTGCTATATTAGCATCACACTGGTATTTCGTTCCTACTATATCATAACAAATGAACACTTCTTATTTGCTAAGCAAAGTCCCCCTTCACAATAGCAAATCTTGGTGCCCTAAAAGCACTCCAGCTTTTTCTCTAAGGGTATGTCTATACACTGTAGTTAAGTTGTAATTTCCAGTTTGGGCAGATGTACACACACTAGCTTAGATACAGAAAAATCCCCCAAAAAACCCAGTGGAGTTGCGGTGGCATGTGCTATCGAGCACTTTTAGTTGAGTTGGAAATTATACCTCCAGCAGCAGCATAGACATAGTCTAAATGGCCTTACTCACATTTTAATTCTTTCAGTGCCAGGGTCGAAAGCATTGTAGGGGCTGATCTACTTACTGGGAAATGAATGGATGAAGACCCACCTTGCAGCCTTCTGAGTAAGTTCCATTGGGAAGTCAGGGCAGAGCAGCTGAAGCAGACAGTGGTACTCCTTCGCTGTCAGCAAATCTACAGCAGACACAGACAGGAGAACATCACAATCTTTTCTGAGATTGTCCCTTTTCCTCTCTCCCTCCCTCCATGCACCGGCAATACATCTGCTCTTATTCTCTTCAGGAGTCAAGATTGGTAAAGCTAGTATTAAGGACAAAAGAATTCCCCTTATTTATGGAGAAATGCCTTTTAGATGGAGTTTCCAGGAAAGCAGTCAGGAAGAGGCATCGCGAAAGGCAAGAGCTACAGAAGCGAATCCTGCAGACAGAACTGGTAACAGGAAGTAAGTAATTCAGGGTAAAAAGGGGGTACCGATGCAGGAAACGCTCAAAGTGTCAACCAAAGTTCATTTAACTTCTATATAACTGTTGGGAAAAGAGAACATTTCAAAGCTGCTTAAATTTGCTGAAATTCACTGGCATGGCATCATTCACCACAGCATGCCTGAAAACCATCCACAGAACATCTGGCAGCAGTAACAAAGGTAAACAAGGTCTTGGGCTGCAGATGGATGGCTATGGAATATAAACCCACAGACATTATTATTTTGGCATCCAATAATGCAGCTGGATAGCTTCTTTTAGAATAGCATGTTCAAATCTGGTCACTATTATAGGAAGCACAGAGCAAAGATCCAAAATATACAAGAAGGGCAACCAAATGATTCATGTTCTAAGGAGCTGCTTTGAGAGACACTGGAAAAAAATGGCTTCT